ACCTGTCCCCCGGGTGCCAGCGGTTCAGTTACTGCATCTTACCTCCTCCTGGGAGGCTCACACGGGCTGGGAGCGCAGGCTGCCTCTGGGATTTGCAATCAAACAAAAAGGAACCAAAATGTCAAAACCAACATATTCCTGCCTTGAGTGAAAAATAAAATAGAAGTCAGGGATTTTAGTTTAAAGACCAGAATATCTGAATGTCATCCCAGCTAGAATTGAAGTATCTAGTTTTAATGAATGTGCAGATAGATGTGCCTGTTAATAAGGCTCCAAGAGCAAGTAATTGCTGCTTTTTGTACACAGCTCAGACTCTGTGTAGTAAATGGGAAGGACTGCCAAATCCCATTTGTTACTTCTAACACGCTCTATGTTACATCTTGTTTCTATGGCAATAATCCCAAGAAGGATTGCATGTCCATATAGATCAACAAATAAATCTCATGGACATATAGGTGTCTAGATGAGGAAAAGAAAAAGTTAAAACAGCTGTGAACTTACAGGACACATCCTGGCTTCAGCGTAAAATAGAACTCAAAGTAATAACTTATTCAGTGCAATCCCTCACTGTCAACGCCATTTTTGTTATCAAATAGAAACACATCTAAACAGGATATTGCCTGAACTTTTGCATCTCATTACATGAGAAATCTTTCCGAAATACATAGTAATGCTTCTTAAGAAAAAGTTACGTTTTTTTTTTTTAAACTGAATAAAACCAGCTGTACAACTGTCACTGAGACACCTGTCTTGGGTGTTGTTAAGAAATTAAATTTGACTTTTTATTATGAAGTTCCTGGTCTAATCTCAAATTTTCAGGCAAGGCCTGTGTCATATCTGAGCTGGTGCCTGGTTGCGACCTTACTTGCCACTGAAGAAGACCCAAAGGTTTTAACTTCATGCCTTTTTGCTCACTGTTGACTGATACTGTTATGTTCACAGCAGGATGAAGGCCAACTGTACAGAGACTAAAAACCTCGTGCACTACTAAGCTTGATAATAACTAACATTAGTATTCGGCAGACAGGAATTTAGGACAGGGACTTCTCAGACCACCTCATTTCTTTTTCTGTTCATGCAGTACTCTTTTCAAACGCACTAAACAGAAACAAGATCTTGCTTTGAAAAAGCCCAAATATGTGATTGCCTGCAGTAGGCAGAAGACGAGGTTATGCTGTCAATCACTCGCAGAATACAGAAACAACAAGGGAAGCACTGAGAGAGGAAAACAAACAGGCAAACAACCTCAAGAAGATTTGTCTTATTGTACTGACGGTGTTTTGGAGATGGAAAAGGTAGGCGGTGTAGACAGAGCCAGACCCTTCCCCGAAGAGCACAGTGACAGGATGAGAGGCAACACCCCCAGGCTGCAGAAGGGAAATTCCAGTTGCACATAAGAGAAAATCCTCCCCTGAGCACCGCACGAAATTGGAAAAGGGACCTGGAAAGGATGTTCAATCTCCTCCCTGGGAGATTTTCAAAACTCAACTAGAAAAGGCCCTGAGCAACCTGAGCAAACTTTGAAGTTAGCCCTGCTTCAGGCTTGGACTAACAACCACGGGAGGTCCTTTCTGATTAACTTTTCTGTGATCCTAATACACGTCTGAAACTGTTGCAGTATTGCCCCATTTCTGGGCTTTTTAATATAAACCATAGCAAGTAAAAATCTAGTCCACATCATTAGATATTTGTAAAGAAGTCCATGTTGGGTGTAAAAACTTTTTCCACTTTTCCTGGAAACAACAGCCCGCACGTGGTAAAAATGGCCCAAAGCTTCACTTGAAGACCACTTGGACTTAACCTGAAGTCAATGAGATTTCAGCAGGTAAGTGCTTCCCTGAACTTTAGTCCAATTCAACTCACAATGTTTTGCTGTTCCTCTCACTTCAGAAGGAAATCAGATGCCAATTTCAACCAAAATTTGCAGGATGATACAGAGATCTCAAAAGCGTCTGAATTCCTCCACGTGCCATAAAGCTCAGCAGCTGGGTAGAGGAGAAAGACCCAAATTATTGACCTTCTGGGCAGAGAGCAGCGATGTGAGCTGACCTGTCGCTGGACTGAAGAGGACTCGTATGGAGGTGAGAGACCTTACAAATACGCTAGGCTGAAGGAACAGCATCCACCAACCTTGCTAAATACAAGGAAATCTAATCATGCAAGAAAAAGCCAAACCCCCAAGTTTCACAGGTTCTGCTTCTCTTACACATACTTACTAAGACCTGGAAATTTCCAGCAGTAAACATACTGGAGGGCTGGTGCCCTGACTTTGGAAGGATATACTGGTATACACTGGTCCCAAAACCAGACTTAATGCTTGTGAGTTCAGAAGGAGCAGAGATGCTTTGCTAACAGCACGCAGGCTCTTGTGGCAGTGACAAGGGTAAAATATAATGTGTGCGTTGAAGGACTGCTTTGATAAATGGTGCTCTGGAGGGAGCACTGCTGGTGGGGGGATCTTAGTGAAGGGCAGACTTCCACACCCTGCCATGCAGAATGACTGATGATACAGGTGGCTGCACACACACAGCATTTAAACTATCCCTGTGCTCTAAAGGACTGAGAGCTGGAGATGTGAACATGTCTCTGCACTGGTTAAAAAGAAAAAAAAAAAAAAGCAAGGGGAGACTTTCTGGGACTAGTTTCCATTACACAGGACTCTCCATGTGGGAGAAGGCAGGGCATGTAGCTCCTTCCTTGCCTACAGAAAAACAAGGTTATAAAATGGAAAAAAGCAGGTTGGACTCAGCACGGACATCTGCACAAAGGCAACATAAAATGCTACCGAGCCAGTACCATAGCATTTTGCATTTATTTTAGAAAAGTGTTAAGACCACCAGCAGTGGCACAGTGCAATCAATAATCCCAGCTCTGGGCAGGTGGTGCTGAGCAAGAAGGCACAGGAAAGGTGCCTTCAACAAGTATTGGGGCACTTTGCAGTAAGGTGTCCTGGTAACCCTCTATCCCTAGGAATGAGGACAACAGCGTCACACTGGATCACAGCGGGCTCCTCAATGTTCTCCCAGATCTTGG